ATAATCTGCTGCATGTCTTGTACCATGGCTGCTCTTTTACTGCACTTTTACAGTTTAGCCTAATATTTTGAGTGTTTTTGGTGTTTAAAATGATCATTTTGTATAAAATATGTATAAAAATTAAGTGTGTTGTTCATATATACTGCATTACTTAATTGTACTTGCTCACTCAAACAGGCTCTGTAAATAGAAAAATAATGATACGTAAATGAGTTAAAAAAAAAGTCCAGTGGAGACCAGCAAAAGTTAGATTTGAAAAAACAAACTGCCAAATGGAATTCACATTTGAGCAAAATGTACATAACGTGCTGTGCTGTCTTTCTCTGCAGCTTGAAATGCCTGGAACGCTCTGCACTGTTACTGCAAACTGCAGAGTTTAGGCCACGGCTACTCAGCTCCTCCACCACGCCCACCTGATTAATTAAATAAATACTGCATGAAGAAATGCTGATGCATGCGTTATGCTGATGGATTGAGTTCATTGGGCCTCAGTGGGCTGTTTGTGCTCATCAGTGACTTGCAGTCATCAATAAAATGTGTGTGAGAGAGCTGGCCAAGATAATTTGTTTCTCACCTTCCACCAGCCGCCTCGGCCGTCATGACTGTGTTTGTGCCTCACTGTGTTTATTACGTTATGACTCACTTTTCTTGGAGTGTCTTCTGTCTGATTCTGAAATTCCACAATTTTTACAATCAGGGGAGTTTGTGTTTGTGCTTACACACATACATACCCTCTCTCTTTCTCTCTCTGTATTTCACTCTCTCTCTCTTGCTTTCTTTCCCACTTCTTTCTTTCGCTCACTTACTCTCTTTCTCTCTACTCTCTTTTTCTCTTTTGCACTTTATTTTCTTTCTCTGTTTTTCTCACTTATGCGCTCTCTCATTTACTCTCTCTCTGTCTCTTTTTTTCCCACTTGCTCTCTCTCTGTCTCTCATACACTCTTTCTCTCTCTGTTTTGCTCTCCCTGTTCTCTCCCTGTTTACTCTCTTTGTCTCTGGTCTCTTTCTTTCTCTCTCTTTCACTTGCACTCTTTCTCTCTATTGTCTCTTTCTTTCTCTCTCGCTCTTCTTCTATATCTCTCTTCCTCTCCTCTCCTCTCCTCTCCTCTCTTTCTCCTTCTCTCTTACCTCAATCCTCATTCTCTCTCTTCTTGCCTCTCTTTTGCTTTCTTCTTTTTATCTCTCCCTCTCTCTCTTCTCCTTCTCTCACTCCTCCTTCTCCCTCTGTCTCTCTTTCTTTTGTCATCATCCTCTCTAATTGTCCTGGTCATTTATTCTTTATCTATGTTTGCGTACTTTCTCCCTTTATTCTCTGTTATTATTCTGCTCACTGAGCTCAATGTGTATCTCCGTCTCTGCTTCAGGTTGTAAATTTAGTTTTTTTACTGGTTTTATCCTCTCTCCGGTGGGGGAGGCTTACTTAACGGAAACTTTCCACAACAAACATGATTAAGTGAAGACGAAGAGGAAAAAGACACAGAATCAGAAAAGAATAAAACGCGATGCTTATGGGACTCCTGCTCATGTGTATCAGAGTGTGTGTGTGTGTGTGTGTGTGTGTGTGTGCCAAACCCTCACTGTGATAAGCACTTGGTAATTTCTTCCACTCTCCTCTTTCCAAATCTCTCTCTCTCTCTCTCTCTCTCGCGCACTTGCTGGCTCTCTCTTTCTCGCTCTCCCTGTTATGATTATTGCAGCTTTTTTACGAGCTCAATGCTAAACACTCAGATTTGCTCCAGCCTTCCTACACACACACACACACACACACAGTGGGGAGACACTCATTAGGTGCTCGTGAATACAGATCTATAAAGACTCTTGCAAAGGGTCCAGGTTAACCCAGCTGCCAAAAATGTGTTGCATGCTCTCTCTTTCTTTCTGTCTTTCTCTCTCTATATCACCCTCTCTCACTCTCTCTCCCTCTCTCTCTCTCTCTCAGTCAGTGATCTGTCACTTGGCTCTGTGTGTATAGTACTTGCTGTCCGTTACTGAGGGGATAGTTAGAGACACTCTATTCACCTGGAGTGAACAACCAGACGTTTCACTGTGTATTAGTGCTATTTAAATCTCGGGAGTGTATGAGTACATGGTAGAGCTGATGTCTTTTACGATGTCAGTCTTCAGCAGGGATACACTGATGCCCACTGAAAGAAAGCTCTTCATGAAAAGGCGCCGTCAGTTTGTCTGCATTGTCCCCTAATACATAGACACAGCTTTGTGTGCATTAAAGTGATTCGAAGAGAATGTTTTTTTAATAAATAATGATTTGACAGTTTTCTCACTACCCTTATTTCTAATTAACCCTTTAAGATTAATGACAGAAAATCTCAAAAATATGTCTATGCTGTCATCATATTTATTTAATGTGTAAAGAACATGATCTAATAAAGCTGAATATTTATGGCTTTTTCTTTTCATCTATGTCACAAAAACCATTCTGAGCAAGAAAACACCTGAAAAGGAATCTACTTTACATTTTAGTGGCCTTTCATTGTTACTCTGATGAAACAAATCAGTAAGTGTTTACAGTGGGGGTCTTTGCACTAGGCAGCCACCTAGGGCCCCCAAGAGCCAAGGGCCCCATGAAAATACAAATTACTTATACAATGCATGCTGATATTAAATAACTAATTCTGAAATTATTATACATTTAAAATTGGCTATTATTTGCAATTGAAACAATTTATTTTAAGTCATTTCAGTGCAGCCTCACCCCTCAGTCATGCTTATAATGGACTATTCCATGTTGTTACCTGATAATGCAGCTGCCTAAAGACAGACCGGTGAACAAGGTAATTAAGCAATAATCAACATTATGGTTGTATGACAATCAAATAAAGTTGTCAAGAAACACAAAAAGAGGCAGAAAAGTAGAGAAAAGTTCAGTCTCACTCCCACAGCTTAGTTTTTTCAGGCAGCACAGAACAGACCAGAGTGCTGCACAGGCTCAGCAGACTCTGCCTAATACTAGCATTGATGTAAGTACAGATAGCTCCAGTGTTAGAGTAATTACATAAAAAAGTAATTGAATTACTTCTCTCAAACTGTAATGGGATTACTTTACTTATTGCTTCTCAGAAAAGGTTATCTCACTACTCATTACTTAATTTCTACATTACTCCGTAATCGAATTATTCCACTATATTGACAGATATAGCATATTTCTTAAAACAAACTAAATTATCTGCCAAAAAGGTGGGATAATTTCACTTAATAAAATTACTTCACACAAGTAAAACAATGTCTGGAAGTAGTTAAATAATCTTATAATATTCTTACAACTGTCTCAAAATTTAAGATATTGTCTAGATTTGAGAATATTTCATTATTTCAGGGCATTTTTGCAGTGTAGATGGTTGCAACCCATCCTCAACTAATTTAAAAATGTGCATCCAGGGGGGCCCATTCCAGTCTTCTGCCTAAATACCCTGAATCGCTAAATCCACCCTGAGTGTTTCCATAGCAATGTAAAGTGCATTCTAAACACAGTGCATCCAACAATAAAGGCAGCATGGAGCTTCTTTTATACAGTGATAGAGAACAGGGTAGCACACACACACACACACACACACACACACACACAAACACAAACATCATCTAAACCGCTTATCCTTCTGGGTTGCGGTGGCAGCTGGGATAGGCTCCAGCCCCCCACTGGGTAGCACACAGAATACTTCAAAGCTTATCCATTTAACCATGACCAAAGCACTAAGTGACCAAAGCACTAGCCACCCTGGGCAGATTTTAATGAGTTAAAGGGGAATGTTTATACTGATACGATGTTTGAAGGGTTGATTGATTAGCCGCCCCACAACGAAGAGGCCTTCGTGTCTGTGTGTGCTGTACTGCAGAGCGTTGATGATGCTGTGTGTGTCCTGTTAACTCTTTTACTCTATTAGACTGGGAATCAGTCTTGTGGAGCAGACAGAAAGAGGACGAAGCATGAAAGAGAATAAAGGCGTGTGATAGTGTTGACCTTTTCCCCTCGATATTTAGGTGCTTGTGTCTCTAGAGTTCTGAATATCTACACTGAAGCTTCTTTTAAAGAGATAAAAATCAAATTGACATCAAATTTGTTTGCCAATAAATTGTGATTGTGAGATGTAGTGGCAATTTTGGCAACGTTTTACTTAACTGAAATAACCATGCTATAAACATGTTGAGGCAGATATCAATGTCCAGTGATATTCAGAATGTGTCCTAACAGCTCTTGACAGCATATGACATTTGCCATCATATATTCATGCTGTTAGTGTAACATAGCAGTGTTCAAGTGTCACCTCAAATTATGGTGTAGATACATAGAACAAGCGACATATAAAATACAAAGACTCTTTCTTTCTCCCTCTGCCTCTTTGTCTCTCTCTCTCTCTCTCTCTCTTTCAGCTTCTAACAGAAGGTCCAGTGTGTTAGGGTTCAGATGTCTTTAAGCTCTCAGTATTATTTGTGCTGTTAAACAGCATTGCTGTTTCTCAGCCACTGTGACTTTATCAGCAAAGTGTTCACATAAACAGCTCTGTGATAAAGAGCAACAATCAGCGCAAGTGACGCTGTGGTAATTACTAAGGAACAGTCAACACAGCAAGCGGCTCCCACTGCATCTCAGAACATGTAGAGTCAAAATATGTCAGAGGGGAGAGGACAGAGGAGGAGAGGGGAGCAGACTGAGACATTGTGGGACATTATAATAACAGGTGCCATTTAAACACTGATGTTGATGGCAAAATACAGGACTCTGTGTGTTAATCTTGCATTGTGAAGGCGCTCTTGGACTTATCACAACACGATCACACACTTTAGTCGTCATAATAATAATAATAATAATAATAATAGTAATAATAATGATAGAAAATAATAAAGGAAGTAACAACATTGAGAAACAATATACTTAAATAAAAAATACCAATAAACACTCTTCCATTCATATTCTTCCTTTTCTCTCTTCTTTTTTCCTCTGGCTGTTGGTTTTAACCAGTCCTCTCCTGGTTTGCTCCCTCCAGGTGGCACTGCATCTGAAGCCAATCCAGTCTCTGTCTGTTCACCACAAGCCGCTGGTGTTTCTCCTGAACTCACCGCAGCCCGTCCTGTGGAAGCTTCACACAGAGAAACTCGTCCCTGGAGTCAAGCGAATCTTCCACGTGAGTTTGAATTATCACTATTTTTCATGGGCTAACGGAAAAATCCCATTCACTCTAACGAGAAATTGAAGGGTTCATCTCATGTATGCATTTGAATAAAATCTTTCATATATATAAATATTTTTCAAGTCGAGTCAAGACAAAGTTCATTTATACAGCACTTTTTACATCAGGTATTGTCACAAAGTAGCTTTACAAAGAGAAACCAGGTCCAGGTCCCCCATGAGGTGATAGTGCCAAGGAAAAACTCCCTAAGAGCAAGAGAAAGAAACCTTGAGAGAAACCAAGACTCAAAAGGGGGAACCCAACCTCCTCTGGTCGACACCGGTCAGCAAACAATAACACAACAGTAATATGAACAGAGAAGAAGGTTTTCCCATTATTTTTGTATGTATGTTAAAGGTCACACTGTCAAGATAGGTCAGGTGTAGTGTTTTTCTCATTAAATTGGGTAGAATGTCTGTCAGAGTTCTGTAAAGCTTGTCCAACCTAGCAACAGCACCCACCATAGAATACATTTGTGGGTGAAGCATAGATAGATAGATCATAAATATGTTTTCTCAACCTAAATGTTGAGCACATCAGCGTTAAAAGCACGTGTAGAAGTGCGTGTGAAGCTTGGTACCAATACACATCACCGTAAACATATCTAGGATTTTTAGCATGATGTCACTTTTACACTGCTAAAAATTTCAGCACCCCGGTCACACTTTATTTGGATGGTCCCCTATAGATGATATACAGCTACCTAAATTTTTAAGAAACTTTCTGGTCATACTTAGTTGATTATCAACAACATTATGGTTAGGGTTAGGTTTAGGAGGAGGTATAGGTTTTGCCTTGAGGTTAGGGTTAGGGTTAGGTTTAGGGTTAGGGATAGGTTTAATAGAATCTTTCACCCTCAACTTCAAGTTCTGTTGCATTTAGTAGCATTTTTCTTGTTGCATTTTATTTGAGTGTTAGTTAAAGATAGACTGAGCATCTACAAAGCATCTGCAGTGGGCCACCCAAATAAAGTGTTACCGCATTCACAACTTAAAACACCTTGCTGTGTCTCTGCCAGTACATAAAGACAATAGAAGCTTTAAGTGAGTTTTACACATGCTTGAAGTGGTTAAATCTTCAGATTATTCATTCAAATCGTTTTAGTCTGGGTATTTCCGTTGTTTTGTTAGTAAAAAATAATTTAGGGATTATGAGTTATTTATGCATTTGCATATTATTTTTGTCTTGAACACTGATTTTTTTTGTTAATAACTGGTTTGTGCTGAATCAGAGCATATATTTCACTAGCTCAGGGTGTAAGACACAGTCAACAATGTAAAGATATGCCACTTCTATGCTTCTGTTCTAAAGCATTAATCATTAGGCTTCAGACATTTGCTTGCATCTATTACTGTTAGTTGCTTTGTATATATTTTGACTATAGGGGGGCAGAGGATGTGAGAAAGACACCAAAACAGATCAGACTAGGTGACAAACTAATGTTCACGTGTTCAAACTAATGTTCCTGATGTGTTATCATGAAATTCCAATAGCATGTGAAGGCAGATTTAGGCCTTTATCTCTCTAGCTAGCTCTCTTAACTCTTTCTGTTCTTTCTCTTTCCGTCACATTTACTCTCATCCAGAGTCTCTCCGTAATGAATATTCAACGCCGGCACAACAAACACGCTCAAACACTCGGCTCTTTTACGATAGTTTCTCTTTCACAAACAAACATTGCCCGAAACCTGCCAGAAGTCTTTCCACTCACAAAAAAGATGCATTCAGGTGTGTGTCTCTAGAGGAAAAACACACACAGATACACATTCGCATACACACACAAGCCATGCCAAGGTAACCATCCCTCTCAGACAGATGGGTGTATAATTGCATCTGGCTGAAGCTCACAGGTTGGTACTGATTGCTGCGAGTCTGCAGACGGTAACCGGATGTTTGGCAGTCATACCGTTCTGTGGAAGTCGCAGCTATTAGCGCAAAGCTGAGGTTTAGCTGTTAGCCACAGCTACACCCTGTTACCCGCCGCTTCTCGGGTGCTTTTCTGCCCCCACCCTTTCCAGAACCCCTCGCTAGTTTAGCTCTCAGCTGGAAAACATCACACTAGCGCTGTTTAACTAACGTTTGGGGAGCGTGAAAACGCCCCTAATTGTGTCTGTGTTGTGTTTTTGCCACATACAAACGCCTCGGCATGGCATGCTGATATTTCCATTACCAGCAGCCTGAAGACTTTCACAGTCCGCCTGTAAAAGACAGTGTCTCGCCTGTGGTCGTCATGGAGGCTGATTGGAGGCTGTTTTGTCTAAAGAAACCACTTTCACACCACTTTGGATGAAAGCAGAATTGCCTGAGAGATAAACTAAGCTGATGAGATCTGTCTTATCAGCACTACTTACAGTAATGTTTTTTTACAGTGATGCTATTGAGGAAAATGGCTCCTCTGCTTCTTCCTCCCTAAACAACAACATGGTATGATCTGAGACATTTCCTTTCCTCTGGCTGGACTGAGGGGGGCACAAACCAGGGGGCTTTTTAGTCAGGAAAGCATAATAATTAATTAGCCTTAATTGTAGAAGTTAGGGATGCAAATGCTACCAGATTCTTTTGACTTATAATCGACTGTCATTAGTTGGCAATTAACTCCTTAAATGGCCGGTGGGCCCAACATTTTACTACACGCTTTTATAACCTAAGAATAGCTCAGTCAGTTTGCACTGAAGTCCCTGTAGTTACTGAATAATACGGAATAACAAGAGGTTAATCGTTAATTGGTAAGACTAAGATCAAGGACATCATCCATCAAAATAACAACAGTAAAACAGATAGATCCTGTTCTGACGTCTGATTGGCAGAGCCATATTCAAGGCCATTGTAAAAAACTTGATATATGCACACCTAATCAACTGCGTTCTGTATTAATGCACTGAAATATTAAAAAGTGTTCCTTGTATGGATCGTGGAACATAGTGCTTACAAGTGGGCCGGGGAGGTGGGTATTATATGCCTTTGTGACAGAGCAAAGTAAAACAATGCAATATGTTCATATTATTTAAAGTCAATAGCATTTCTAAATAACTTTTCACTTTAAACAATTTAAAAAAAAACTGTTTCTGCTCTCTCTTGTCCTGGCTGCATTGAAGTGCCTTGACTGAAAGGGCTTTCAAAACAAATGTACAGGTGAGCTGCTTCTTATCTGGCATGACAATAAAGACCACTTGACCTCTCTCTGACAAGCTTAATGCCACAAAACACTCTTGCAGCATTTTTCTTTCACGAAAACAGCATTGGGAAAACGATTCGCTTTGCGGACCGTGTCATACTTGTACCAGTGGAGTTGTGGAGTTTGAAAGTAATTCCAGGCAGAAATGAGGAATCACTATGACTGGTGGCACCTCAGCTGTGCAGGATCCCGATAACTCTCTCTGCCCACTGCTGCATTCTTGTGACCCAGTGTCAATGATCCATGGTCCGGTACCAGCCTGCAGCCCGGTGCCTGGGAAGCTCTGGTGTAGAGAATGCCACAACAGTAACAGCACTGTCTCACATATTATGCAGCATAAAAGTGGCCAACTATGAGGTTTGGCATGATAGCAAGAGATCTGGCCCCAAGGCATGAGACTTGAGAATTAAGTGTAAGGGGTTTTAAAAGGGTTATGGGTATTTGTGTAGCTTTCTCGCTAGCTTAATGTTTTAGTTGTTATGTGGTACTTGGCTAGTAATATGAATCTTGACTGAGTCAGCTAATCATAGTATACCAAGAAAATGTCGATCAGCCAAGACATGTTTGATGTGCAAAGTTTTTTCTTTAGTTTTGCACTGGAGCTATAAGGCTAATGTAGCTAACATGTAGTGGAAGCTTTTGTACAACAATTAGCAGTGCAAAACCAAAGAAGCACTTTTCGGTTTTGGCTGGTCATGTGGATTTGGTAGGGGAAAGGGGGAAAAAATGTACAAATTAGATTGTTTTGGTCTTGCTTTAAGCACAAAACGGCTCCTGTAGTCCTTCTCCTACAACAATGACATGGTATAATCCAAGGCATTTCCTTTCTACTGGCTGAATTGAGGAGGCACAAACCTGGGGGCTTTGGGTTGAGGTTTTGAAGCAGGCAACCCCCAAATAACCATATTTAGTCAGGAAAGCAGCAGACCCTTTACAGAAGGCTTAACGACAAAATGAAAGCTGACTGGCTTGGATCTCCAGCCCTGAGCTTTGCTATCATCAGAAAATCGCATGATTTAGCTCAGCCCCACTTCACTTTATGCCTGCTTGTATTCTCTTCCTTTCTAATACACACTGGTGAATGCTTTCATGTAGCTTGCGGTTCGATGCAATAATCATTTTCAAATGTGCCTTAACACCATAGCATTCCTCAAGAATGTAGCATCAGGAGTTTGTATTATTTCCATATGTGGCGATGTGTTCTGTTCGCCCGCTTGTTTTGTGGATGCGGATCAACTTTCCTGGAAAACTGGAAGCAATATACAATCCGCACACATCACTCTTTTATACACACACAGCGTGAACAATGATATCTTCCCAACGTCTTCATTGACCAGTGAAAAGAGATCAAACATGACTACATTCTTACATGCTGTCTGAATGATTTCACTCGACTTTTACAACAAGAACTTTAGATTAAATCTTTCCACCAGTCTCCATGCGTTCTCAGAGGCTTCATGAAAGCTTACTGGTTGACATAGCTGTCCATCATCACCTATGTGTATGTGTGTAGGGGAGAGGATTACATCTGGGTATAGGAGCCTGACCCACGGCATGTTTTCAGTTCTGTTCCCCATAGTGCAACCCAAGCATGGAGCAAAACGTTTCAGACAAACCAAACCCTGGGCTGCAGTTACGCTTGGTCTGAAAGAGAGGCTCCAGTTACAGAGTGAATAATGCTGTATGAGCCAAATGGAGGGAATTAAAGACCACGCTACTTTGCTAATTGCACTATTTCCTGTACAAAGTACATATATTTTCATGTCAAATGAAAATGAGAG